CATCAACTGGTATGAAACCATGACCCTCAGCCTCTAATTGCCTGAGATGTTTCATGTACATAAGCAGCCGCAGCAACGTTTTTTTTTTCTTTTGTGTTACTTTGCAGTTTTAAAGGTATTGTCTGAACATTTGGAAAGAAATAGGAGAAAGAAAGGAAAAAAAAGGAGAGGGAGAAGGAGATGGAGAAAGAGAGTGATGGAAGAAAGGAAGCAAGGTTAAAAAAGACAAGGTAGGAAGTTACGTAGGGGGGAAGAAAGGGAAAAATAAGAAACATTAGTCATTCCAGAGAAATATACCTCGTAGCAAGAAATAACTGCCTCTAGAACTAAGAGAGGGAGGTATGCTTCTCAATGACTTTGACTTTTATGCTTTATGAAAGCTAATAGAAGAGTTCATTCAGCATCCTTGGTTTCTACTATTAGTTAATTTGTAATATTTAGTTTTATATAAGACTTATTTGCCTTCAGATAATAGGGTTATTATCAGTTGAACATAAAATTTATATCATTGTGTCTTGAATAGCATGCAATTAATGCTGTGAAATATGATTATATGTGTGCTTAATGTCAACAATGAAGCTAATCATAGGTTGGCTCTATTTATAATACAGTACAACTTAATAATTTTTTTAAAATTGGGAGCACAATTTATCAAATGCACAGAAATGGTTGTTTGAGTTATTCTATATCATAAGCCTATCAAGAGTGCTATTAACTGAAGTCTCTCAACTTCCTTGTCCCCTTCAGGGCAGTGAATCACTTCACATGGTTCTTCTGGCTTGAGTGACCTGGAAATACAGTGGCTTCAGCATTGGGCTGCTAACTGAAGGGTCAGCAGTTCAAACCCAATAGCCACTCCACAGGAGAAACATGAGACTGTTTACTCCCATAAAGATGTGAAGCCTCAGAAACGCTATAGCACAGTTCTCCTTTGTCATAAAGGGTCACTGGGTCAGACATGTGATTGGAGATGTGAATGAATCCAAAGTGGACAGGTCAAATGGTATGCCACTGATGGCTCCTGGGTTTGACTGGCAATGTGACAAGAAGTTAGTTGATGTCCCATGCAGCCAGATGCAGGATCTAAGCCCAGTGAAAAAGCAGGCAAGCTTGCTAACTCACAAAAACTCTCTGCTACTGGTGTGCTTCTTCAATGTGGGCTTTGTTGCTTATGAGCTAGCTGGCCGCTTGTTTACCTTCAAGCCTTTAAGACCCCAGACGCTATA